GGGCAACTTAGCAATTTCAGAAGAACCTGTCTCAAAATAAAAAATACAAAAAAGGGCTGGGAATGTAGTAAAGTGTAAAGGCCCCAAGTTCAATCCACAGTACTACAAAAAATAATCCATCTGACTCTGATACCTTTTGTCATCCTCCTGGCTGAGATGTGGGTTTTGTCTACCATCAACAGAAGGCCAGACCTTGGCTTCTCCTCTGTCCTCTGCTGGTGGGAGTGTTTATTTCTGGTTCCAGGATCTAGGTGCTAGAAGCCATCCAGACATCTGAAGGCCAACAGTCAGGCCAACAGAGAAGCCCCCCTGTGACCACAGTAGCCTGGAGTTTTCACAACTGCTCTGGGCAGAACTGATGATTTCTTTTGGAAATCAGTCCCATGGATGCCTGTTCCTGTCCATCACTTAACTCCATGCATCTGGAATAGATCCTGGCACACAGTAGTACACAGGAGTGCTAAAACTTCCATCCGGGAAGTTCTGTCTTATATCAAAGGGGAATTCCTAGCAAAGGAGAAGTTAGGTTGCAGATGGAATTCTGGCTGCTGATCAGCTGACAATAAAATAAGGATGTTATTCTGGGTCATCGAGTTGGACTCAACATTAGCACAGGGTCTTTGAATGGGAAACTGAGGCAGAAAAGAAGTCAGAGTGATGCATTGTGCTGTGGTATCACTGGCTTTAAAGGTGGAGGAAGGTGCAGTAGCTGCAGCTCATGGGCAGCCTCTAGGAGCTGAAGGTGAGGAAACTGGTTCTGCTGTAGGAGGTGGGGCTGCCAATGCCCCGATGCTAGCCCAGGTGGACCCATTTTGGCTTTCTGTTCCCTGGTTATAAAATAGTAAATTTAGGTTGTTTCAGTGGGAAGAAGGGGCCCCCAATGAACAATAACTCAAAAAAGAACCTATCAGGGATGTCTATAAAATTAGGGAAATTCTCTAAAATGCTACTGTGATTTTACTAAGTATGTGTGGGTATTAGAATTATAGAAAAATACTTTTCCTAATTTTTGCCCCTTAGAATTATACTGAAATGCCTTCAGCATTGGGTTTGAGCTGTTATAATGAATTACCAGAGGCTGGTGGCTTCGACCGCACACATGATTTCTCACAGTTCTGCAGGCAGAGGCTGACTCAGAGTCCCTCAGCATCCGCTTCCTGTGTGCTGACTGCTGCCTTGTTGGATTGTTGTTGGTGGCGAGCAGAGGCAGTGATCCGTGTCTCCTTCTTACAAGGACACCAATCCCACAGGAGGACACCGCTCTGGTCACCTTATCTAATCATAATTACTTCCCAAAAGTGCCTCTTCCAAATAACAGCCTGGTGAGGGTTAGTATTTCAACTCATGAACGCTGAGGTGGACACAAACATTTGGCACATAACACATAGACACTTTTCTCAGTCTAACACAAAAATCAGGGTGAAAATGTATAAACAAGCTTGCTGGCTCTGTTCTGCACTCAGTGTTATACAATCCCTGCTGTTGTCTGTAAACCAGACTCTTTCCTTCCCCACCCCGGCAGCCCTCAGCAGCTGCCACATGCACACATTCTGGGCTTTTACATCTGCTTACATCTGAACAAGGACTTCCAGGCTGCCATTCTACAAGGTCACCTGCCTCCCTGTCTCTGTGCTCTGACAACATCACACACACACACACACACACACACACACACACACGAAAAAAGGGTGGGTGTCAAGCTATGTACATTCCTATTGTGGTATTTTATACCATCTGCCATGCTTGGACTTTTCATCTTCTGTTCTTCTATCACATCTTGGGTACTGGGGTCACTCCTGGCTTCCTCAGCTGTTATCTCTGCTGCCTAGCCTGTGTGAAAGGCGGTCACAGTTGTGATATCTGTCCACATGACAGCATGTGTTCCTTTGCTCTTGTGTCCCATCAATCCTTCAAGAGTTCCTGAGAGATAGCCATTTCCAGAAGGTTCTTTCCCCCCGGTTTGGAAGACTGTTGGAGAGGGATTCTGTGTATGGTGGTTCTGGGAGCATGATCCCTAGGGCCCTGGCATTCCCTGGGAACATATTAGAAATGCACATTCCTGGACTCACCCAGGCCTACTGAATTATGAATTCTGGGTGTGCGAGCCAGCAATCTGTTGAAGCAAGCCTTCCAGGGGATTCTGAGGCATGCTAAATTTTACAAAGCTTGGTTTAACTTGATCTGCTCTCTCTCCTTGAACCTCAGCCATACACAGCCTTCAGACCTTCAAGGGACAAGATGTATGTGTGTCAGACACATATATTATTATTTATATATATTATACATAATATTAAAACTTTTCTATATATAATTTAAATGGTGCTCTAAATATGTTTTCTTAGATTCCGTGTTTGTCTATTTGGTATCCAAATTAATGGACAACATTACTTAACATGTTCCAGCAATCCAGCTTTAGTGAGCACGTGAAAATCCTTTGTATAACTTCCAACTAACCCTAATTTCATCACCTCAACCCACTTTATCTTTCACACACACTAAGCCAGCATTACCTTTGCTCTACCCAGGACTAGGGTCTTAGTTACTTTCTTGCTGCTGAAACACAATACCTGACACTCACAACTCTAAGGAGGAAAGGCTTATTTTGGCTCACAGTTTGTAGAGGTTTCAGTCTGTACTTGGCTGGCTCCATGGCAGGGCAACATAGCAGAGGGGCTTCACAGAAGATAAATAGCCCATGGCAGGGCAGCAGGAAGCAGAGAAATATCAAGGGAGGAAGGGGGAGATATACCCTTCTTGGCCACACTCTTAGTGACCCATCTCCTTAGACCTGGCTTTATCTCCAAACATCACATTTAGCTATAAACTCATTAGTGGACTAATCCATGGAGGAGCATCATATACCTGGGATCCAATCACCTCCCCAAAACCACCTCTATGACCACATAAAGCTTTGGGGGACATCTAGATATAAATTGCAATAACTAGGTACTAGACAACTAGTGACCAGTCCTGCAAGCCACAGCCCTATCACATTATTCATACTAGCCAATCCCAAAATACTGCCCCTTCCCTGTCTTGGTTTTCCCACAAAAGCCCCAAAAGCAGCTCTGGCAAAGACTTCTTGCACTCCCAATTATGCCTCCTGACCAAACCTGGTGCTTTTACATGGATCCCTAAATGGCATGGCATGGTCGCAGCTCTCAGGAAATGCAAGCAATAAAATGATTCAATGTATTGACCTTTTTGTGTCATCACAGTCATAAGTTAAAATTCCATGGTTATACGTTAAAGCAAATGGCTAATAGAAATAGAATCAATGTGACATAATGACAACCAAGAAACAAGGAAATTGGCACAAGATGGGAAATGGAAAATTAGATGAAGCCACGAAATATTCCTATGTAGCTAGCACCCAGTAAAGTCTTTAGGAGAGAAAGTACTTCATAAATAGCAAAGGAAAAAGAACACCTGGAACATTCAGGGAATCTTAAGACAGCAACCAAGCAGTGTACAAAAACTTAGCTCTTCTTGATTTGGGAACCAAGTTGTGTTTCTTTCCCAGACCCTCATGTGGAGACTTTTGAACATCTTGCACAACTCCTAAGGATGCACTGTGAGGAGTCATTTCTTTACCATCTTTCAAAGTAGCTGATGGCATAAACGCCAAAGCACATTTTAGTAAGGGCATCTCTTGAGTGATGTTACCTTCTGTCTGGTTCTTGCTTTATGATCTCACTTGACCCAAAGAGAAATGGTAGAAGGTTTAGGTCTAGCCTTTCTCAACATTTTAAGCATGCACATTTGGGTTGATGTTGAAAATGATGTGTTGTTTTCTAAATAGAAAAGTACGTTGCTAAATCAAACTTGATTTTACATATCAAGCTTCCCCCCTCCCCTTCTCCTTTTAGTATCACTCATCTGGAGATTGAAGAGATGAATATTTTTCACGAAGTTCTCTTTAAATGTTACATTTATTGCAGTCAAGTTGTTGGGGTGCAAGGATTTCAGGGAGCAGCCCAGGGTGGGTAAATTAATGAGACCCTGCCTCAAGGTGGTAGAATGCGTCTGGTTAAAAAGCAAAGCAATGCAAAACAAACAAGCCTCCCGTCCCAAACCCAGGTCTAGTCGTCTCCGGAAAAAAAGAAGAGATGAGTGATGTAAGCCTGTAAGAGAAGGATCTGGTCCTGGCAAAAGGGACCCAGGTCGAAGGCTACGCAGGAGAGGGGCACATCTCAGTACCCTTTCCCTTGGCCTCAGCCAGATCCAGGGTTCTAGTGCGGGAGGCAGGGCCGAGGTTCTGGCAGAGAAAGGCGTGGACCTAGAAAACACACAATGTCGTGGATATCCGGCCAGTCTCAGGGCCCATGCCACTCCCAACTTTTCAGACTGAACGAGGAGCTGATGACAGGTTTGACCACGGCCAAGCTGCAAATATTAATCCAGGGACCGTGTCAGGGCGAGGTCAGACGCAGGATAGGCGTCTGCACTGAGAGCGCAAACACCTGAGTCAGGGGGCAGCCAGGCAAGGTCAGCACGCAGG